AAGCACAACCAAAGCCAGAGCTGCCTCTACGCCAGGCCATAGTGCCGGAGCCACGCCGAAGGATAAGCCTCATCGTCTTCGACCTGAGTGAATCCTCGGACGAGGAACTCGAGTTGCAACGAAAAGTCGCCCAGGCCGTAATCCGCCAACCACCTTCAGCACTTCCAAGGGGTCCTGACCCTGTTCCATCAACCGAGCGGGCCGAGCTGCTCGCACCACCCTCTGTACTCACGGACCGCTTCCTCGAAGGTTTAGCCCCGCTGGCCCGCGCGATCCAGGAACGGAGGCCAGCTCTTCAAGCCCTCCTCTAGCAAATCGGGCGGTACTTTTGGGCGAGGCCAGCGCCGGAGTGACTGAGGATGAGCGAGTTCTCGGACTTCGTGGAGGAATGGAATCGAATCAGTAGCTCCCCTTCTGCTCCCGCTCCCTCTCGCTGTGAGCGATGTTGGCGCTGCCAACGCCGAAGGCAAGCGCGGAGAGAGCGTCGCCTTTATGGAGGATCATACTACTAAACCCCTTGATGCCCCCCCCCCTTTGTCTTTCCTTTCCCTCTCGGCCACTTTTCCGTTTCACCAAATATACTAACAGATAAACTGTAAACCGACACATACTTAATAGAATTTTATAACTTCTTATACTCTACTTGGTTGACGTTATTCATAAACTGTACCTCCACCCTGTTCACTAATCTTAAGCATCCCTCCATCATAATGGATTTCCTGACTCCAGCCGATGGCTTGCTATCTCTCACTGGGCTGCGAAGTAAGTGTATTTCGGGGCCTAATCGACTGGTTTTGTTTCCTTTCCTCGTTCGTCGAAAAGGCAGGGACGGATGTCTGGCTTAATCCATCGCACCAAGACCCAGGAATACTGGAGGGACCCTCGGCTGTGGGCTTCCGGGCCCTGGGTAGTGCTGCATCGCCTCGAAGATGAAATCACCATCAAAGACGAACCACTGGCCCCCGCACCCACCGCCATCGTTCCACCAACATCCAGGACGTATCTCCGGGACGTGGAAACTCAAACCCTCCTTACGGGAAACACCTGGAATCAGCCTCTACCTAAGTCCTGTTACTCTCCTCAAACCCTATCCAGCCCTCCCAGATTTGTCGACCTATCCAATCCTCAATTCTCTTCTCTGATCGGGGGAGACATCCAGCTTACTCGAGTTGTATACGACTCCCTGGGACGCCATGGCCAGGGCCCGGACGACTTCCAGCCTATGCTGTCGGACATCTACCAGCTGGTGCGAGATCTAGACTCCGTCCGCTTCAACTACTATCAAAGGGAAATGGAAAGTCGCCAGCGTAGACGTAGACGCGCCTACGGACCCTGATGGGATGAGAACTCTACCGGCGGGACTCACCCCTCTCCACATCCTTTCTCCTATACATATACATGGTTATAACGCAATATAACCCAATAAACTCGAAAAATTAGTTAATGTTCTATATTTGTGTTCTTCTTCTTTCCCCCCCCCCTTCCCTTCCCCCAGTAAGGCTAAGTGCTAACCCTGCTCAATGGCGCAAACAGCTTGTAACTAACCAAAGAAAAGTTATTCTAAGTTGTCACTAACCTCTAACAGCCAGCTGCAGCAGCAAAGCATCACCAAGGCACCCTGCTGCTGATATGGACCAGCAACCGAAGGTCCACCGCGCCAATCAGACAACCATCTCCAGATCCCGCATAGCACCGGCCGCCAGGACTCGTCGGAATCGCGCAAGGAGGACACGGAGACATCTGCAAGAGGCCGCCATCATGCAGGGACTTCGCGAGGTCCCGGCTCGAGGCAGAGCTCACCATTCCCCGCAATCCATTCTAGACATCAGAGCAGCTCCCGCCAGAGCCGAGGTTAACACTGACGCTCAACCTGTATCCACTCCTGCTCCTAACCCCCAGGCAATGGATTTCACTCACGAGGATGAGGCCGAGGTTATTACGCAGGACCTCGCCACCTTGTCCCTGCAGCTCCCCTTACCTGCCTGGGCCATCACTAACGTCAAGCGGGGAAATTAACCGTTGGGGTCATCAACGCTCCTTGGATACTGGCCGAGGAGTCCGGTCAAAGGTGCTTACACGGGGCATCTAGTGCTAACCTCGCCGTTGGGACAATCCAGTCCGTGCCTCCTAAATCCCCCTCCCCTTCCATTAATAACTTCGCCATCTGTTCCAGACATGCCACTATTATTGAGTCTAGTCCTACTTCTGCACCGTTCTGGCGCTCACCCTGGTGACTCATACCGGGTTACAATGTTTCAACACCAGTCTGGCCTATACTATCGGGAATACCAGTCCGTCCAGCTAGTAAGCGAAACCTGGAGAATCCTCTCTACGCTGGTCGTGGATGCCCTGATCAACGCGCACGGTCAAGACACCCAGGCATTCAACAACTACTCGGACACTTGCCGAGAGACCTGCTCGCCGCAGTTCTGCACTACGGCTCTCCAAGAAAGCACAGTTCAGGCCGAATTAGACGAGGGTACCCGGCTAAGCAATCAACTGTACCAGGTCATCGAGCGCACCCCTACCCGGGACGTCTCGAACGACCGAAACCGATGTTCACCCTGGATTGGATTCATTGGAACGGGACTCAGAAAGCTGTTTGGCACCCTGGATTACAATGATTACGAACACTTCTCTAATGAGATTGCCCGCCTTTACAAAAATCAGGCGTCTATCAGCCACCTAGTTAACGACGCCACGCATATCATACGGACGGAAGTCGACTTCCTCGTGAGTGACCTTGCCCAAACCAACAAAAGAATCGATGAGCTAGCTTTCTACGCCGCTGCGATCTCGAAACAACAAGACCACTGGAGACACATGGTCGAAAAGGAGCGCGATTATATGTTGCTGGGCCTCCACCTTTTCCGCACCCTACAACAGCGCAACTCCCTGATGCAACAGGCCATCACAGCCATCGAAAAAGCTAAGAGAGGCATACTCAACCCGATCACCGTCCCAGCAGGACACCTGCGGGTGGCCTTGAACGACATGGAACGGAGGCGGCCACACTTGAACCCGCCGCAAGCGCTTGATCACATCGACCTCCTCAAAAATTTCGCGTGTCACCGCTACCCGGGTGGGTAATATCTTTGTGACCGTCGTCGAGATACCTCTCCGTGGAGAAGAGCTGTCCAACTGCCCGCCCGCTGATAACGGCCTGGCCTGCGCACCGTTACGAGCAGTCCAATCTTCGTAAAACCAGGCTATCTGCGAAACTGAAATCATTCGGGACCCTTCCAACAAAACTCTAAGACTCCTCCCTAGAACCGTCTATTAACACTCCAACTTTTCATCTGCAAGAAGCCGATGCTCGGGCCAACTGGGGCAGTGGTCTGGACCAGATCGAGAATGAGTTGAACCGAGTTGGTCTCCACCATCAACAAGAACGACGAAACAGGATTTGGATCAGCAGCACGCTTGAGGTAGTCGGGATAATTAGCTTTATCCTCACCGCTCTAAGTATCTACAAGGAGCTCTCTCTGGATCTGCTCAAGATCACTGCTACGACGACATCGAAGCATTCGAGAGAGGCGGGGAAACGATATCCCTCTTAAGATCGTCATCCTGAAGAACGAGTCTCCCGAGCCGCGTATCTAGCATCGCGTCGAACTAAATAAAATTTCTCCTATCCTTAGTCGTTACGATAATCTCTGTCGAGACGCAGTAACGTGAATATTCTCTCTATCGAGGCATCAATTTTAAGTATAGTTACAAAGTTATAAAAGTAAGTTGGGAAAATTAAATATTGTTATCATTAACGTAATAATAAAGAAAAAAAAAAAGAGAACAAAAAAAAGGAGTGTTGTGTGAGTTATTCATAAAACCATCTTCCATTGCTCTCACCTCTCAACGTTCCGGTACCTGGTTCAGGATTACCTTCTTGGCGAGCATTAAGGACCAAGGTAAGTTCCAATTTTGTTTTTTGCAATCAACCTCATACTCTAAACCGGGAATCATCACTAGCAAGAGGGGAGAAAAGCGCGGGCTCTTCTAACGTTCCCTAAGAAATTTCCTTTATCAAAAAAAAAAAAAAACAACAAAGAAAGGGGGGAACGAAGTTTTTTTTCCCTCCGTAGCAAAACTACCTGCCCTGTCCGACGCCTCCCCTCCTTTACACGCTACCCGCAATCACCTTTTCTCTTCCTCCATAGTCTCACCATTAAAGTTTTAATTTTACATAATATAATTATTTAAATTAGTCGGACATAACATTGAAAATCATTGTTATGTTAATAAATGTAAATATTTATATTTCGTATTCATTAATTCACAAGGGTATATGCACTGATGATAATTTTTAAATTATCAAATTATCATAATTTATTAAGTGTATGTTTTGGTTTGTAATAAAACTTCCTCTACTATTACTGTAATTTCGTTTATTTTTACTGCTTAATTAATTATTAAGAAATATTCTGTGTAGCAAAAAATTGTATGTGATTATGTATGCTGGTTTAGACTCCTTGGCTAAGAAATTTGGTTTAACTACAGAACATTTTGCTGGAAATCTAATGTTAATATGAAAATGTAAATAACTCAGAGGCTTTCCTTGACTTTTCTGGCCTAGTAGATTTTCCGGCGTGGTAAAAATGTAAAGAGTCCCAAAAAAATCTTCCAGGTCCAAAGAATAAATTAACGTTAAAACTGGCCAGTTTATCGAAATATTAGAAGAATAAATTAGCAGGCGTGATGCGTGTCTGTACACGTTGGTGTCCCACGACGGAAGAGAGCGAGTGCCACAAATGATGAGACCTTGTGGCTAATTGAAAGGACACCTGTTCGAATTTCTTTTAATTAGGTGAGGCATCCGCCTAGGCGCGCTAATTAGAATTAAATAATAATTTTACACCTTATAAGGCTTAGCATGTTAAAAGTGTCTACAACTTCGATTTGCAGTGTACAGATTGAAAAAAAACTGCTGAATATAAACTATTTAGTTAATGGTATATTTAATTAAATTCAATATTGAAATGTAAAAGTAATCCTTTAAATTTGATTATTAAATTGTATTATAGTGACAGTATTCCGTGGAATGACAATTTAAAAAGAAAACACCTCGAGGATACAACCTCTGATTCATATTTATCCTTATCTGGAGCAAAAATTTCAGCAGATGATTAGACATCGCTGAAAGCCTCCGCATTCGTTCCGGTGCCGATCTGAAGAAAAAAGAAAAATTACATTGCTTCTTAAGTACACTGAGAAAATTTTCCGGGAAAAATTACTCTTACCCAGGTAAGAAAATATAATTGGTTAAGCCTTAAGCCAAGCTTGTCCCAAAGCTGAAGAAAGTTGGGACAATATTGGAAGTAAGTATGGTCGAACATTGTTCCAACCATGGAGGATAACCACGTTCCAATATCATTTCAATTAATTGGGACAATCTGTAAAAATAATTCTGACCCAATCCCGAAAAAAAAATCTTCATAATTTTATAATTTTTATTCGTTTATTATAAACAAAAAGTACAAAAGACAAAATTATTTAATATTTTATATTAATTAGAAACTGATGATGGACGTAGTTGAAAGCCTTATAATAGGGTATATATATAAAAAAAATTACCAGCTTTATGTGTATGAAACTCATTGAATTAATTTTCAATTTAATTTACTTTCAAAACTAAAATCACAGTGATTTGAAATATATTTTTTTAAGAAAAAAAAAGATTCTTTTACTCAAAGGCTTACACAAGTCCATCGAATTATAGTGATAAGGAAAGTACATAAAAAATAAATCACTTAAGGGATTCGATCTTGCAATCTTCGTGCCCGACCTCCTTCCCTATCTCCACTTTCGGCCAAAAATTTACTAGTTACTGAAAGAATTTTTAATTCTCTTTTCGATTCAGAGTATTTTGTTTCTATGAAATCTAAAACATAAGTAATTAAATAGTTATAAATATTATTTAAAAGTTTAAATTGAAACGATGTAATGAAAAGTACATAAAGTTTATACTAACCGGTCATTATTTGATAAACATTTGTTTTACTATAACTCAATTTCGGTATATTTCTTTTCGTTACACGCCCAGCTCCACTATATTTCTGTTGCACTTTTTTTTTCATTAGTTCTTTTAAAATTTTCTTGATATCTTTGTCATAAGAATTTGAACCACTTGTTATGGTTTCAAAAAAGCTTTTCTGAAAATTTAATGTTCATTGAAGATTTTTTATATTGAATTAAATATTATTATTTCTTATTATTCATAGACAAATATTTCTTTTGGGAGTTTGAAAAAATTTGGTATTAATATAATATATGTGCATCATTATAATTATTTAAGTAATTAAGTATTAAATAGACAAAAATTTTTTTTCTATAATTACCAGCAAATTTCGTTTATCTGGATCATTTAAGGTATTATTAAATTCTAAAAAATCTTCGATTTCTTCTATTGGTAATATAACACCGAGTTGCGATCGAATCGACGGACCTACAGCAGTTTTTTTACATGGCAATGTAATTTCCGATAAGCATTCTTTGAGATTTTTGAATTTATTTGTGAAGTCATATTGAATACTGCTCTTAAATCTTTTCATTAATAATTGGCACATATCCATATGAACGTCAACGTAATCAGCAAGAATATCTGCGAATGAAGAAAAAAATAATGTTTTCATCAAACTGTTCGTTAATGTTAATGCTAACTTACTTTGCTTATCATTCATGTTTTGCCGCAATTCTATTAATTTGTCGAATTGATTAAATAGCTTCCTATCAGCAATAATGGTATTCGACATTTTTAAGGGTTTATATTTGTGATATTTATCAAGATGATTTAAATTCGTATGGTTAAATGGTGATTGTCCAGGTGAATTTAGAAGATCCTCTTGAATCTTGTCTTCTGTTCTTGGAATATTTGGTTCTAAAATATTGAGAAATTCGAAATTGTATTAAATTATGGAAGGATCATTAAAAATGAAAAACCAAGCATGACAGTCATTACTTAGCCTTTGTTGTTGAAGATCTGAGTGGTTTGATGTTGGAGAAAATGTTGTTTTACGTTTGGAAGTCTATTTACGTTTTGCGTTATGTCCAGAATGTACACTATCAAATGATTTTGGACCAGTTCTCTGTGAATTTTCTTCAATTGATTCTGAATCCGATGACACCTTTAAGTTCATTTTTCGTTTTTTATTAAGCGGAGGCACTATAGTTGAATCAATAGATTGGTCACTATATGAGCACTCATTTTGGCTTATTTCTCTTTCTTCTGAATTTGAAAAAGACGAATGTCGTGAAATTCTCTTTCTTGGGATTTTTTTCAATGAAGCAGCTTTTATACTTGTCAATTGTTTATCAAAATTTGTCTCTCGAGTATTTTCTGTATATTGAAATGTTTAATACATTAATTTTAACTTGAATTTAAACGTACAGAAATGTCAATAGTAAAATTGTGTTGATAAAACAAAATTTAGATGCAATAATAAAATATCTTCTGATTATAAATGTACTATGACAGGACTTTTTACCTTTGGTAAGGGAATATGACTCTTGTACATCCTTGTTACTCAAGTTGAGCTCTTCATTGAGTAAAACCAGAGCTTCCTTCTCATTTAATTTTGGTACATCTTGTTTTTTTAACGTAGCATCTTCAGTTTCAAGGTTTTCTTGAGTATAAGCCCGATTTAGTCGTCGTACACCTTGTTCGTAATCACCTTCGATCAAATAGTAAGTTAATAACGAATTGTCATTACGTTTTCAAAAAAAAAATATAACTTTACCGGCACCACTTAGAATCTCAATATTCTTGGAAACGATCCATTTTTCTTTGTTTGGTTTTTTTCTATTCTTAACCCAGTTTTCAAGATACCGATATTCTTGTTTTGGTGGATAATAATACATATAAGGTTTCTCACGATTAATGAGCCATGAACGAGGTATCAAATCAATTAATGACTGCCCTCTTCTCTTTTCAGCAAATTTAACAACAAAATATCGAGAAGTGTCTATAGACTCCATAGTTGTTTCATCGTTTAAACTAAAATAAGAAACATATAACATAACCTTTAAGTGAAATGTATAATACGAATAATTACTCACTGTAACTTCACATTACTTCAAAATAATTATCAATTAACCGTGCAAGTGACATATAGATACATAACCTTAAAACTTTCTCTTCTTTAAATGTATTGAACTAGTGAACTCACCAATGGATTATAATATAGAGTTACAAAGAATAAAAAATTCTTATCACAGCACCAAGTTAATCAATCCAGAGCAATAAATTCACAAATCACACTTTTGAGCATTAGTAAATTTCTTCACAACGGCGTTGTAGGAACTAAAGCCTTGTGCTCCCTTTCTACCGGTTCTCGTCTCAGCTGACTGACTGCGCAACGATAGTGCGCGTTTCATATTCCATTTGTGCTACGTACGAATACACTAAATTCTAAATATATATTTAAACAAAATATTGTACATATTATAAAGTTGAGTAGTGATAAATAAAAAATTAACGTAATCTTGATAAAAATTGAACGTTATTTTCAATATACATTATTGAAGAATGAATTCTTATTATAAAGTAAAGAAATATCGTTACTTCAAACGTTTAGAGGTTATCATGAACACCAATGACACAAATTTTAATGATGAAAGTGAAGAAATGAATGACTTGCTTACAAATCAAGCCGTGGTGACTTCTTCTGAAGGTGATAAAATAAAATAAACTTTATAAACAATTTTAAAAATTCTATATTTATATTAATAGTGAATAAAAACTTTTTCAGTTCAAGAGAATGAAAATGCAGATACTTTTGACAATTCTTCGATAAATCCATCCATGAGTGGCCTATCATCCGAAACATTCATCGTATATCATGCTGACTTGGACAGTAATAGAGAAAGTGACATTGAGATATTAGAAAATGCAAATAATAATATTGCTGCGGACATTTACACTAAAATATTAAATTGGTCTTTGAACAATATGGACAAAATGGCCTTAACTACATTAACAGAATTATTACATATTCTTCGAAGTGAAGATTTTATTAATTTTCCAAATACAGCTCAAAAATTTCTCAGCTTTCAACATTCAGTCAATGTAACCACAATGATTACTAGGAAAGAGAGTATTGGTAATTACTGCTACTTTGGGATTAAAAATAATCTTGAAAAAAGAATATTTCCAGAAATTTATACGGAAAATATTATTGAAATTATGATACATATAGATGGAATGAAGATATATAGAACTACAAAAAATCAGCTTTGGCCTATATTACTGAAAGTTGTTTCAAATAATTATGAATGTAAACCGTTTGTTGTCGCTGCATTCTATGGAGATCCTAAACCTGAATATGTAAACGATTTCCTTCAAGATTTTGTCATTGAAGCAAAGGAAATACTTTTGAATGGAGTAATATTGAATGGCGAAAAGTATAAAGTTAAAATTAGATGTCTGATAGCTGATGGGCAAGCACGTGCTTTCTTGAAGAATATAAAAGGACCAACAGCTTTTTTTGGATGTGAAAGATGCGTTATTGAAGGAGTTACAGTTAATCGGAGAAGAGTTTATCCTTATATTGATTGTAAAAAACGAACAAAAGAATCATTTATTGCGATGGATGATAGTGAACATCATTTAACAACAGAGCCTTCAATTTTGATTAAAATTCCTAATTTTGACCCTATAAAGGATGTCGTTTTAGATTCGATGCATATGCTTTATTTGGGTGCCATGAAAAATTTACTAGAAAAATGGATGGGTCGCAAAAGTCGTTCCAAATTATCCCTTAAGAGCCGTCAAATATTTCGACAGCTTATAGAAACTATGACACCTTACATCCCATTAGAATTCCAACGTAAAGAATTTAGTTTAGATACAGTTGGACACTGGAAAGCTACTCAATATCGATTCGTATTACTGTACTGCGGACCGTTTATTTTACAGTATGTGTTACCAACAGATAGATACCTCCATTTTTTATTATTACATGCTGCATCTCGAACTCTCAATAGCAGAGAGTTAGCTACTGCATATGCTGATATAGCTAATAGATATTTAAGAAAATTCGTACAATTATTGCCAACTTATTATGGGATAGACTCGCAAGTTATGAATTTTCATAATCTTATTCACATATCTGATGATGTGACGAATATTCAAGCTCCGTTAAGTGATTTTTCAGCTTTTTGGGGCGAAAGGTATATTGGAAAGTTTAAGGATTTAGTTTATTCTTATGCTAGACCACTCCAGCAAATAGTCAATAAAATAAAAGCAACAGAAGCTTCCAGTAATATAAAAATAAGAAAGCGTTGGTCAGGCGGAAAGTACATAGTTAAACATCAGCTAGAAATTTTCGGTGGTTCAATCATCCAAATGAAATCTATTGTAATATGTGAAATGGAGATCACTGATAATGAACCAAATAATATTGTTTTGTTAAAAGATAGAAGGGTTTTTTCTGTTCAAGGTATTTTTTCAAGAGATGATAATTCTCATGTAGCATTACATAATGTTTTTTTGACTGGTTATGAAAGTACTGAGAAGTTCAATGTATTTGAAAGACCATGTTTATCTCAAGAATTAAATATAGTCAAATTTTATGCATCCAATAATGAACGTTTGCACTTTTCAGCTACTGAAATTCAATCGAAATGTTTCATGATAAAAATTATAAATCGATATTATGTATCTCCATTTCTTCATTGATAAAAGAAGATTTATTTTCTAATTTTTTATCTTTCAATCAGTTTTTGTAATATTTCTTTATATATGATAAAAACAATTACAAAAAGTTTGTGAAGTTATGTCACTTCAAGCTCTAAACTTCTTTTAATGTAACATTTATTGTGTATTAATACATGTTTTTGAATAATTTCATTGATTTTTCTGGAAAAATACTCAATAAATTTCAACCAATATTAAGTCAATATTGTTTTTTTTTTTCATTTTCTTCATTGATTTCTGCATTGGTTCCATATTGAACGTTTTAATAAGCCAAGCCATGGTCAAATCTTGAATCTCAATGCTTGTCACACCAAGCTTGATCCAAGTCTGATCCAATTGTTAAAAATTGGCAGAGCTAACCTGGGTTATCATCTCTTGAAAAAATACCTTGAACAGAAAAAACTCTTCTATCTTTTAACAAAACAATATTATTTGGTTCATTATCAGTGATCTCCATTTCACATATTACAATAGATTTCATTTGGATGATTGAACCACCGAAAATTTCTAGCTGATGTTTAACTATGTACTTTCCGCCTGACCAACGCTTTCTTATTTTTATATTACTGGAAGCTTCTGTTGCTTTTATTTTATTGACTATTTGCTGGAGTGGTCTAGCATAAGAATAAACTAAATCCTTAAACTTTCCAATATAACTTTCGCCCCAAAAAGCTGAAAAATCACTTAACGGAGCTTGAATATTCGTCACATCATCATTATATTATAGTAAAACAAATGTTTATCAAATAATGACCGGTTAGTATAAACTTTATGTACTTTTCATTACATCGTTTCAATTTAAACTTTTAAATAATATTTATAACTATTTAATTACTTATGTTTTAGATTTCATAGAAACAAAATACTCTGAATCGAAAAGAGAATTAAAAATTCTTTCAGTAACTAGTAAATTTTTGGCCGAAAGTGGAGATAGGGAAGGAGGTCGGGCACGAAGATTGCAAGATCGAATCCCTTAAGTGATTTATTTTTTATGTACTTTCCTTATCACTATAATTCGATGGACTTGTGTAAGCCTTTGAGTAAAAGAATCTTTTTTTTTCTTAAAAAAATATATTTCAAATCACTGTGATTTTAGTTTTGAAAGTAAATTAAATTGAAAATTAATTCAATGAGTTTCATACACATAAAGCTGGTAATTTTTTTTATATATATACCCTATTATAAGGCTTTCAACTACGTCCATCATCAGTTTCTAATTAATATAAAATATTAAATAATTTTGTCTTTTGTACTTTTTGTTTATAATAAACGAATAAAAATTATAAAATTATGAAGATTTTTTTTTCGGGATTGGGTCAGAATTATTTTTACAGATTGTCCCAATTAATTGAAATGATATTGGAACGTGGTTATCCTCCATGGTTGGAACAATGTTCGACCATACTTACTTCCAATATTGTCCCAACTTTCTTCAGCTTTGGGACAAGCTTGGCTTAAGGCTTAACCAATTATATTTTCTTACCTGGGAATTTCATTGATTTTTCTGGAAAAATACTCAATAAATTTCAACCAATATTGAGTCAATATTGTTTTTTTGTTTCATTTTCTTCATTGATTCATGCATTGGTTCCATATTGAACGTTTTAATAAGCCAAGCCATGGTCAAATCTTGAATCTCAATGCTTGTCACACCAAGCTTGATCCAAGTCTGATCCAATTGTTAAAAATTGGCAGAGCTAACCTGGGTAACTTTGGGTTAATCAGGTGATATCTCCAGAATCTTAGAAATTTACGAACTACACGTATGAATTATTACAAAATCATCTAGGTAAATTTTACCCACACATTATGGTTAAGGTTTCAAAAAAATTTTATCAATGTAAGAATGATTGCTAATTAAAAAAGTAAATATCAGTGCTCTCTAGTAGTCTGGATGTGACCCAAAAGGTCCACACGACTAACTTTCCAGTGAAAAGAATGGTAAGATTTGTTGAATTATTATAGTCAACTATCATAATTATTATAATTACATTAATTATAATTAAAATTAAGACATCGAGCGTGAAAATTTTTTCTTTTGTTTAAGCTCATTGAATAATATTAGTAAATTTATTTTTATTACTTACTGACAGAGTGACAGTCATTTTTACGGACATCAGAAGTTTCATAAGATGACGAATAAAGTAAAAATTTTTACTCACTATTGAAAAATTATTTATGTGCCCTTAAAACACCTTCGTATCGGCAATCTCTCGCTCCAGACATTTGTTCTTAATTTTATAACTCATCGCATTTTCCATCTACAAAAAAAAAAAGAAAAAATTGCAAAATATTAGTGCTCTCCAGTGCGACTAGAAAGGTTATTAGGTTGAAATCAGTTATTGTTTTTCAGTTATTTTTACTTTATTCGTCATCTATTTGTATTTCACTTTGTTAAATTTTCTCTTCATTTAAATTAATTTAAGTTTTTAGTGTTTACGACGAAATTAATATTTTTAATTGTTCATTTACTGAAACGTAACTTTTATACATTTTTTATTTGGGTATATATATATATATAATTTTGGTGATGTTCTATTTTTAAAATACTTCATGAGCATTTATGATCTAAAAGAATTTATAAATATTTTAGTGAAATAGTATACGGTTATCATATTTCATTTTCTATTTTCGGAATTTTCTGAAGATTGGGCCAAGTCATCAATTTTTTCACAAATAAATATTTTTTTCGGTTTAATTTAGATCACTCCAAAAATCGCTGTTAATTCTTAAAATTTTATTCGAAGAATATTTTTGTAAATAAGATGAGGATGATTTTTAAAAAGTCCTTAGTTTTTCATTATCAATTAGAAGCAAAAAGAGTCTATTCCATTTAATAAATGACTTGGCATTCCATGTGATTTCAATTATTAAATTTTACCGACATCTGGTAGAGTCGGTTTTGGTAGGATCTCAGTTATTTTCGTAGATTAAATCAAGTAAAACGCCAAGTTAGCCGCGTCTTTTTTTTGATAATTTTCTCGAACTAGTAACGTACTATTGACTTATAAAATTTAAGTTAATTTTGAATTACAAAAAAAAATTATCTTCAAAATCAAAAAACTGTGGAACTTGGCCCAATTTCGCTTTAAAGTCTGCCCAATCCAGTTTTAAATGTCCTTATGTACGAAGAACTATAATATATGGAACTGTTCAGAGAATCTTAAAAAATGGGCCAAGTTCCATAGTTTTTTAATTTTGAAGATAATTTTTTTTTGTAATTGAAAATTAACTTACATTTCATAAGTCAATTGTACGTTACTAGTTGGATAAGATTATAAAAAAAGACGCGACCAACTTGGCGTTTTACTTGATTTCACATATTTTTTTGATCGTACTTTTTTTTCATTTAGACTAATTTTACTTGAATGAGGATTTAGCGCCAATTTTTACTGGCATTCGTAGATGCTTGTTTTGTTCGGATTTTACTTCTTTTTGAAGTGAAAACTTCTTTAGGCGCATTAGAGCAATTTTTAGTAAGAGAAAAAGTTGTAAGTTCACATCACCAAACAATCAGCGTTACCGATATGGTAACGATAATAGTATGTCTATAGCTATGATAGATATTAAAACGTGGATTAATACCAATAAGTTCAATTCACAAATTATAAATTTTCAATTCTCCATGCTATAATTTATTCAAAAATTCAAACAAACTATTGTTATAAGATAGTTTTAAGTTTCACTTCTATCACCAGTCCCTATGATTGCCTGAAATTTCTTCTCTAAACTCACTGTAAGATTGCTACGACGATAACAATTTAATTTTATTTAAATATTTTTTCATTTAAGATTTCTGAAAATCGAAATTCTTGACCTAGACACATTGATAAAAGAAGTTACACAATCATTACAAGCTTAGAATGCTGTTACTGAAATGATTATCATTCGAAGAAACAGTGGTTCCCTACGAATACATTTCTAAAAAAGACTAGTAACATTGATAGAACATAGGAATGTACAAATTATTCTATGGATAAATTGGAATTTTATATGCATTCATAGAATTTTTCTGCAAGAAACATGTTTTTATAAAAAAATAATTTATAGCTATTTCAGCTATTTCCTTTATGCTACATAGGTGTATTTTTTGCTTTTCTATTATCGTGCGGAGCCTTTTTTTATTTCAAACGGACAATAATTTCTTCATTCAATTGGTGAAAACATTTTTTTTATCAATAATTCCTCAAAAAATTCATTTAAATCGATATGCAACACGCGGGAAACATTCTTCATTTTTGAGAACATAGATATCTCTTTGTTAGGCAAGAGAGAAGGAAACATCACAAAGTTAAGGTAAAAGAGAGTGATAACAATACATAAGGCAAGAAAGAGGGCACTGTAGGCATTCCAACGTGAAAGTGAGTGACAAAAGATACATTCAGTAAGAGATAACACATGATAGAACGCTCGATGAAGTAGAGTGAAAAAGTAAGCGAAAAAATCTTGAATAGCAGAAATATCGCTGTTAAGGGCGTGGCTTATTTATAACTCCGTCAATAATTAACGAAAAATGCTCGTTTAACGTTTGATCGGAAGCTTACGATATAAGATAACTACCTATTAAATATGAAAGCATTATTATAGAGTAGTCGGTTGCCTCGGCGCTCATGGGGGAAAGAGCGTACTAGTAAGAAACAAAGAAAGAAAGAAGGTGAATGTGCACTTAGCGCCGAGTATCTACCGCTACTCTAGATCTATGTACGATTACCAACTTGAGAAATATGAAAATGTAAATTTCTGGCTGTGGACAAAATACAGTATGGCGGATAGAATATTTTTCTCATATGTAGTTTATTGATGTAGAGTTGCCAACTCAAGGTATCTGAGAATCTTGACTTTTGTCGAATATTTTTCAGAAAAGTTCAGACTTTCAATTTTTACGGATGAATATCTTTTCAATAAATAAATTAAAAATTATGATTAATGCTGCAAATAAAAGCTCATAGATGATGTGTATGGCAAATCTATTAATTAATTATGTGTACGTGCTGTACTTTAAAAATTAAGAGGAAGGCTGAAATTTCTTGTATAGAGTGTCTTCTGTTGCGCGCTGTTATGAGAGAGTGCAAGAGAAAGAGATAATGTGAAAAAGAGTGAGAAACAGAAAGTAGGACGTGGACTTGGCGCGAGTGACGAGCAGATCACTCTTGATGAAAGAAGAACTTACCTCAAAAATATTTAGTATCTAAAGAATACTTCTGTATTTATTAATTGCACAGCACTCTGATTCACTTCAATGTGTAATATGAACTCGTCAATAGCTGGTGAGAAACTGAGCTTTTATTTCGTCTTCTTATAACGTAATGGTCCTTTGTGCTATCGTTAAAATAAACAACTACACTAACTATAATAACAAGGCTAAAATATTATTCATCGATCTCAGCTAAACCGAAGATTTAATCTCTTGTTTATATTTTCATGTGGTACAAGTCAACAAGTTCAATCTTGTTGTAGAGAAAATATTCGCCTATGATTATACTTGTAAAGAAATGATTTTGAACACATAAAAATAATATTTTGAACATTGTTCTGACTTCGAGTCGGCCGGACGAGAAAACTACCTTAGTGGACTGTAATAATTCAGAGCAGAATAAGAACAAAAGGTTGGATGCCAGAAGGTTCCAAAAAATGATTCACTAACACCAATTTGTCTAGGTTTTGATGTTTTTTATTCAACAATGACACTTAACATAATCAATAAAACTTAATAATCACTACATATAATTGAGTTGACTGTACAGTAATTGGTTGTACACGTATGAATTGTCTGATGGTTATTTTTTCACCAAAAAAAAATAGTCTCAAACAACAGTGAATAGCAACATTCACAGTATACACCAGAGTTGTTCGGGGGTGCGATGTATATGTGAATGTCCGTGAGGCACTATGGCGTCGACGCCAGTTCAGCTTCGCGCCCAAAGACACTACAACTGAATATACTGGACCACTGGCACTGATGAGAGTAATTTTATGATTCACGTATGTTCGTGAGAGTTGTCTGAGTCTATTTGACCGTACTTTTTTGTACAACGAGTGAGCTGACTGCAAAAATCTGCGATTTGACTGCGAACGATTGTACAGAGATGACCGCGTGATTTGCCTGGAGCTAACTGACGCCACAAGTGCTCGACCGCGTGCTTGTTGGCGTCACTAGGGCCGTAGAGTTGCCTTCTGGGCCATGAGGGAAATACTTCCCGATGATTGGTCCAGTAAGTTGACTGAAGCGCCGGTGGACAAGTCCGGCATTATGAAATTTTGATTATTCCTGACGAACTGACTTGGGCCCCTTTAAGTCAAAACAAACATATTTAAAAAATATTTTAAACTTTTTTTTTTTTATCTATTAAGGCCTTAACTTCTTTTTTAGAGGAGTTATTTAGCATACAAATTGGATACAACTTATTTACAATCAATTCATTGGTGAAGACATCGTATACTCACAGTTTACAAATGTTACAAATACTAGGGAATTTACCATAAAATTATATTGCCAAACCTATTTTCTTGAAAAATTTACATACTTGTACACAGGCTGGTATGCAAGGTTTTTTTAAAATTTCTGTTATATCAAAGTAAGGGTTTAGTTTCAGTTTTTTAACGTTGTAAATTAGAGTTGGTCTCTCTTCTTCATGGAGGGGACAGTGCCACAGGACATGATTGAGGTCTTGATTATGGTATCCACATTTGCAACTTGGGGAGTTACATATGTTGACTCGAAAGAGAGACTCTCCTAGACTGTGGTGGTTTGCTCTGAGTCGGTTAATAGTGGATATGACTTCGCGCTTGAGGCTTGTCCTATGATACTAAGGTATGGCTCTAATTGTTGGAAAATATAATTCAAAAAATTTTCTGCCTTTTTCCTTACTTTCATTAATTATATATTGCGCTGTGTCTGAGTTATATTTGCTTTCAAGAGTTTCACGGATGTCAGTACAACGAAGGAAATTTGTAAGATCAGGAGGAGATGCAGTAGTGATTTTAGATAAGTCATCAGCGGATTCATTCCCTGCTATTCCCTCATGAGAGGGAATCCAATAGAACTGGATTGTATTTTGTTATGCCGTGGATAAATTCCAGGATTTCAGTCAATTTAAATACACAAAAATTTATTTTAAGTGATCAAAAATTTATTGTCACTTTTAATATTAATTACACTTAAATGTTTAGCACTAAAATTATGGTTAACAACAGTACAGTTAATTAATCACTTCTATTTATTACTGAATATTCTAAACTTATTGACAATATTCTGATTCTT